AGAATATATGTATGTAATGTAATATATGTAAAGGTTCTGAACCTATTAATATATTCCAACTTCTCTCTTGGCCTATTAAAAGCCTGCAACTTCTCTTTTGTAGTAATCTCGTCTAATATGCGATTTAAATGTTCTTGGGCCTAGTGAGGTTTCTAGATGGAGCTTATTGAATATGAATACAAAGCGGAGGTGGTGTAGTGACAAGTGGTGCACTGTCTCACACACACACAGTCACGGGTTCGATTCCCTGCTCGACATCCGTCTAGGCCCACCAAGCTTTCTATCCCTCCAGGGTCGGCCAATTTGTACCGGACTCGTGTGGAAGGATGAAAGCACTAACTTGTACATCGGCTGGCCACCGCAATTCATTGTATAGGCCACATACGCGCCCAATATGCCACTACGATTCTGAAAGGAAGTCGAATACGTGGGCGCATCTCTCAGATATGATTGATCAAGCCCAGAGACTTTATCTTTTGTTCACACATCGCATCGTCTACATGAAGTAGATGAGCTACATCACAAGAAGGCAGTCCAGGAATGCCGCTGAGATGATGAATGTTGCAATTGTCAGTGTCAAATAAGCTATCGAGCCCATTTTAGAAATTGAGTCAAAGTGAAATACGTGCGGTTCACTTTGAAGAAATTCACCGTTTCCTTGTAAACCAGCACAATTCACAGAAAAGAGATCATTTCTGGACCTTTTGTCTTACTGCGACTAGCATGAAACGCAAGGTCATTGGCTACTGCTCCAATGGAAGACTAGACGATCTGAATCCCTACCTACGACTAAAGGTGTCAGAACAATCGATTACTACAGGGAGGCATTACTGATTTGTTCAACGTGACAGTAGGGTTCCATCATTTCCGTGAGATTCTGTAAACGCACTATAGAAAGATCATTCTCATGGTGTCCCAATTCCTCTACCAATTTGATTGTGAACGTTCTTGAGTGGAAACGTCTCCACTCCCACACTGAAAAGAAAACCTGTTCAACCCAATAACTGAAGATCTAATCTCCTGCTTCAAAAAATCTGGCCATCTTGGCATTGAAGACAATCTATCATAGAGAAAAAGCTTCAGGACATAACTTTTATTGTGACACAAACAAGCAGTTTAGAGGATACGGTATTTGAAAGAAAAAAAAGAGGCAGTGGTTGTTTGAGGTAAAGTTGTAGGTTGTAGGTTGTAGGGTAGGGTAAGTCTGGGGTTAGCTCAATTATTCCGTAAAAGTTAGATTTTTGTCATGGGAATATGTTTTCCGCTTTCATCGCTGCAAGAAGTTTATGAGTATAAAGACTCGGCTATCAAAAGCCTTTTCCTAAAAACCTGTTCGAGAGGGACTTGATGACTTAACCAGAAACCCCATAGAGTAACCGGACAACTGCTCTGTTTCAATGTGGGATAACTTCGCTGTCACGTCAAGTAACTCCGTCATATTTTTAGACTTCCGTAACGTGGCATTCATCGTCACATGTGCGATGTGAACCAGCTGTGCTACATAAAAAGACGCATACTTCGAGGAGCCCGTTCATTTTTGAACCAATGCCAAGCCACTTTACCTGGAAGCTTTACCTGAAACTTTCAAAAAACCACCTGAAGGAAATCGAAATTGACAATTTTATTACAATGAATACTTCGATTTGTGTGTAGCATTGTATTATACATTTGCAAAATCACAAATGGTCTATCGCTAACCCGATCAGCCACATCTCCTATTATTCATACATTAATGAGAAATATTCTTTTTACTACTATTAAAGGGGAAAAAAGCAGAGCACATTAGGAGAGAAAGCATTAATAGTTAAGTCAGCTATATGATGACTAGGCAAATGACATACGTATATACAAAATTACTTATGGGACTCATTAATGACCGTAAAATAGGTTCGCAAATAATTTTCTAAACATCACATCCAAGGCATAGTCTTTGTTTGCGAAATTACATCATTTTACTACATATTATCAGAATTTAGAGTAAATAGCATTACAATTCTCAAGCATATGTTACCTCTTACAAACTTCTAAGTAAATCGACCGAACTTCCGATCGAGGTTCTCATCTATGCTTTCTCTACGTCAGAATTTACCCTTGACCGCAATTCTTGCAAATCAATGAAGGGTGACAAATATGGCAATGCATGCGTCGCATTGGCCATCACGAAAAAGAAAATAAATTAAAAATGAACAACAATTTCCTCTACTTACATCTATAGGACCACTTTCAAGCAATCTACTTACGCTCAATCACATAAATCAAATTTTAGCCACTATTTCTGAAGCCTGGTCTACCGCCACGCCTGGACGAACAGCGTAGGCTTGAAACAAATGCCTACGGTTTCCATTAAATTTCTCTCAATCACCGTATAAATATGAAATAAGATGAGACGAGAAGATAGGAAACTGGTAAACTTCAAGGGTAATGAACTCATCAGAAACTCTGCAACACAATAAGCAGGCCTGTTGTTATATTGAAGCATGATTAGAGAAGGCGGATCCGTTCGATTTCAGTAGATCTGGGCAATCTCGAGCTTGATAGAACAGAATATAAGCTGATTCCGAGTTCTTCTGTAATCCTCCATCGGACAATCCGAAAAAGTCCTCCATAGATGATATATCCATTTTCTGAGAAACCAAAATATATTCAATATTGCCAAAGAGAAAGAATTAATATCAATATAAAACGTGATTCTCTTTCATCCTCCCAAAATCATAAGGTTAAAGGAGAGGACTAGAAGGTGACTAAGTATTTGAAAAATTCATCTGGTGAGAAAGGATGTTGAAAGTAATAGCAGAAATGAGCAAAATACAGGACTTCGAAAAAATTTGAAAGTTGACAGAACTAAAGGAAGGTTAAGGGATTTTGGCAGTGAAGAAGTGAAGAGAAGAAGAGAGAGTTTGCTACTTAGAGAAGGCGTATCGTAAATCGAAGAAAAAAGTTCTGGGAAGAAAATAAGGAAGGGTACCTAGTAAAGAGACAAAGGTAGAAATAATGATGAAGTACAGAAAAAGTTTTCTAACTCAAGTATTTATCTACTTGAGCTGGTGACCATTAAATAAGGTATTATATGTAGTGTAGTCGTCAGAAAATTCTCGAAACATAAAGCGGAGATGGTGTAATAATCTTGTACTATTAATAGAATTTTAGAAGCAGGGAAGCTAGTATACCGGTCATAGAGAAAAAGTAGGAACATCCAAACTTTTAAATGATGCCCACTAATACAGTTTAAAGTTCTTGCTCGATAATGAGAGACGGCGTTATTTTCGCGCCATTTAAAGAAGCCAGAGAACTCACATCCACAATGTCATCGTCGAATAATAACCAAAATGAGTTGCTCTTGACAATGGTGATATAATGGCCACGATTTGGAGTAGCTCCACAGTGAACGACCGCAGCAACTAGATCATAAAGACGATCACCATTCGAGGCGTCATCGCTCTGCAAAAAGAATCAATCTAAAGATTAAGATCCAACTTCGGCCCATATCAGTGATCACTGTATATAGCTCAGCTTATTATCTTATAAAGAAGCATTCGTGTATGTTGAAGTCGAGAGGCTTCTCGCGTTGGATGGAAGAACAAGCTTTTTTCCTCGCTCTAAGCATACCAGTAACATCACCCGAGGGAAAAGAAAAAAGCAGGTGTTGCAGTCGCACAAGCTATTATTTTACGATGCGGAGGTTTTATGGGAACCAAAAATAAAATCCAAACTCCGAATGGTGGGAAACACCGAATTGCTGAGCACAATATCTTCGAATAGACAGCCCCAACTTCAAACTGTTAGAAATACCTATATCTAGTAATGTTGACTAATAAGGAAGCACATTGATATCAACAATGCCCTTGGAAATAAAGCATACTTCTCTGCATAAAAGAAACTGACAGCACCAATGAAATAAAAGAATTCCTACCACATTGAACAGACGCAATTCCAGTGGGAACAAGACACGATATGAAAGTTTCGTGTAGCGGCTTAATTGGTCCATATATTTGAACCTGAAAAATGAAAACTTTCTGGGCATGAGGTCCAAGCAACAATAGGGTCTGTTACCTCTTCAAATGCAATGCCAGCATGTGGGGTAGCCGCTTGATGCGCATACGTTTTTGGGCCTCTTGCTTCGATGAACACGTTTCACAAAAGTACTTCTACAAATTATTTCTGATAGTAAGTAATAGAACAAGTCGCAAAGTTGCCAAGTTTTGAAATCACGAAATAAAAAGTAAAAAAAAAGGATGAAAAGACAAAGAGGACTCCAAAAAAAGGTGAGCGTACTCCCAAATAGTACCTGGTCTCCGCACAACGTTTCTGTCTCGCTGAACACTCGTAAGCAGTGGGTGATGGAAGCATTCTGATCTATGTCCACAGACAAATCGAGAAAATCTTCATCCTTGCTTGAAACCTTGAATATCGACTCACATAAGTCAACCATTATCAAGATCAATACTATTATCAACATCGAGAAATACTGAAAAATAGCTTTTAACCGTTTCACAGCACAGACAACGTGTTTCATTCGTCAAAGTGCCTTGGAAGATTTCATGTATCCATGTTGTGTCCACTTTCGAAGAAGTACTGCAAATTCATAAATCGCTAAAATCCAATGGCAACGTGAACGAACATAACATAACAATTGTAAGCAGTCCCACGATGAAGTAAATTTTTGAAAGAAAAACCGACCCGCCAGTTTCATCGCGTCCTCTCTCAGTATTCAAGGTCCCTTTACGAAGAGTTCCGTTCCTTAGCATACGGTCACGTTCGGCATTCTTTTCCTCAATCAGGGTCTCTGAGACTGTATTAAGTAGATAGTTCAAGAACTCGTGGGCATCCTGTTGCATATAATTGTCGAATAGCTCTGAAACAGCTTTATACAAATGGATAAATGCAGCTACGAAAATGATAAATATTTACCATTTTCCTTTTTCAACTTAGTTATGAACCGCTTTGGAGCTATAGTCCCTACACGACGTTTTTGTGTAGCAATATTGTGAAACAAATCAGCAAGACAAGTAACAAGATTTTCTTTTTGACTTCCTGGAATTTTTAAATTACTATATCAAATAAAAAAGCAATTAATGCAAAGAAAGGATAAGAGGTCATAAACGAAGTTTTGCTCCGTACATAAGTAGCCAAAACGCTAAAAAATAAAACAGAAAAAGGAAAAATCAAGGCTTACCTGATTTCTTTAACTGTTGTTTATACTGCAATATCTTTTCCCGGAATGGTCGACAAAAGTACAGCGCTTGAATAACGGAATTGCAATAGCAGGTGTTTCCGAACTAAAAAAANAAAAAAACAACATAAAGTCATATGAAGACCAAAAACCTGAACATACAAAATTAAGGGGCCATGAAAAACTGAAAATTCAAAAGAAAAATCTGGATTGGTAATGAAAACGAGGAGAGTAAAAGCTAAATATGGGGCGCCCAAATAGTGATTGACAGCAAAGAAAGTGTTCCTATTTAGTGTTGGTAAAAAAAGCGATGACATCGATCACAAAGCGGGCCACTTCAGCTATTTAAAAAGTTTGTGGCCACAAAAGTTCGAATTTGATTTCACTTCGCTACAATCGACTGCATACTGATTTTAAAATATCACAATGCTGCCACTTAGGAATATTAAGAATTTACTTAGGTAAAACTAATAGCAAAATAAGCTCTTCTCAACGCTGCCAACGCCGTTCCATCAGTCACGACCCAAATTTCGAAATGTGAGGCGAATCGACCAATGCCCCATTCTCAACCCGTATGACGGAGAAACAAAAACCGGCAAATGATGCCATTCTCTCGCGGAGGGGGGACTGCTGCTATTCGGAGTTTTAAAACGCTTCAATTCTTCGAAAACCCCTTAAGCCCTGTTGTTCGCGTAAAGAGCGAGAGTATGGAGCCGCAACGTTTTTTGAATTGTGACATACAGCACGCTTCCTATTGAACTGATGAAGCAAACGGATGAATGATAACGTTTTTGTGACGAAGGCAAAAGGAAAGGATCAACGAGGTATAAATAAGCAAGAAAAATAGTATAATAATGATGTATTAGAAAAAAGTCGGTCTTACATTCACTAATCCGTAGTAATGTTCGTTCCCTGAGTGGGGTTCCCCATTTATCTCACGCTCTAGCTGTGAGGATGAGTTTGCACCCTGAACAAATATATTCAGAATTATAAAGTGTATCTAGTGAGAACAATGATAAATAAAGTCGATAAATACTCTTTTTTTCTGTCAATATCTCACCATTGGATTGAAGATCCAACCACAGGGATGACCGAAACGAAGCAGCCAGTGATTAATTCTGATAAGGATTTTTCTAGCAAAGCAAGCAAAACAAATCTACTTCGACGTCGTTAGAACAAAGCAGCCTAAACTAGAGATTATTCAGCATTACAACTAAAAGTTCGCACACGAATAAACTTCAATAGAGGAACAAAAACAACTAGCGAATGATACAACAACTACAATCTATCAAGGAGGACTTTTATCCAAATGACACGAAAAAATACTTAAAGTATAGCAAACAATGACATAAACAAAGCACACAATTCGCTGAGTTAATCTAAGCAGTAAAATTTGTGAAACGAGCTTAGCCAATACAGCTTAGCGCAATGCTATACGTCAAGATAAACCTTGGCGTTGATCGTAAAGGGCCATGTGCAATTGCGGCAGAAACACGTCAAAAGCGCAATGCTATTTTGAGCTCAAAGAAGGCACCGAGGAGTTCTTAAGTTTTCATGGTTATTTGAGCTATTGATAGGCGGAAAAGCGTCATAGTCGAGGCAGTCAAAGCTGTGCCTACATGGATTCCTTCATTTGGGTGGATGTAAGTTCCATAATGATGGTAACTTTGATCTGGAAAGGCTTTCATGGCCTCACAGTTGCTTCAGCCTTTGTTAGCTTCGAAGTTGACTAAATAACTTTCTGGTTGTTTTAGTTTCGAGTAATTTCATGAAGTAGCAGTGGGGTACGTTAAGGCTGTGGAAGCGCACTGAGTTTTGATTCCTGTCGTGTAGCTCCAGTGGGGGCATTCTGATGCCATCACTTTTGGGTACATGCTTAAAAACAAATCTATCTGCGTTCTCATGTAGGTGTCTGCGTAAAAATGCAGGTACTACGATGCACCAAGTCTTCTGGCAAAAGGTATGTCTGCACGTTGCGGTTAATTAAAGTGCATAGTCGTTCGGTAGTTTTCTTCGCCTCACTATCCTGGAGTGGTTGCTCGCCTAGAAATCCCCGATCTTTGCAAAACCGACCTACCTGTCTTTGTAAAGTTTTGTTGGAGATTCCTTTTGGTGTTGCGAGAGCTAAAGGGGGGAGAGAGTCCAAGCATTCGATAAAGAGTACACTGGTTATTTGAAAGGATTGATTGTTCAAGAATATAACCGCAAAACACCATGCAACTATTGCACCGTATTCTTTAAAACATTTTCATTCTTATACAAACGTGCATAAATACAGACATGAAATCATACGGGTCAACGATGATAGGATGAGATTTTTCAAAGGATAAAACAATTCCAAAACGCGTACATGCTCTATATGTTATTCACATATCAGTCTTAAAAGGTAAGAATATAAAGATGATTGTTAATAATTAGCAAATTAATTTGAACACTAGAAATATACAGGAAATTACTAATTACCAGCACATTCAGGTATTTCGAGGAGTGTAGACAGGCCTGGATGCTCTTGCCCTGTCCGTCAAATGCATGTTTCAAATCAACGCATGCAAAATCAAAGAGATCCAATTGTTTAAAAAAATCAATATCTTCCTTCAAATTTGGCATTCAGAGCAGTTTTTCCATCACCACTTTGGTCATCAGGCGGAAGCCATGTGGCGTAGCGATCATCGTCGATACTGAAGTGATTTCAATGAAATCTCTTACTGACAGCAGTGATTGTACCGCTGCTCTCTAGGATTCTAGAACGAAGAAGAGAGCTTAAGACAGAGTTCTACTCACCCAGTTCCATAGTCGTCACCGCACTCCACAGAAGTCCGATTTGCCCGCACCCTGACCCGTCGTTTCTTCTTCGGCGCCTCATTTGAATTCTCCCCTTCTCCAGAGAGCGATCGCTTCTCAACCTTCCGTTCACTTGCACCCTCTTCGTGCATCTCATCAGAAACACGAGGGGATTGCAGAGGTTTAGCCGCTGAAACCATGCTGATATACCTATGAATAGTTGAAGTGGTAAACATGACTTGTTTTGAACATTCAAAGTACCGCTTCCGAAGTGCGGACGTTCAGAAGACGGAATAAATGTTCATCTTTATGCCATCAAGTTACATCTATGCTTACCTTCTTCGAGAGATGGTCGCTTGTTTGACGTTGAACTTTGTGAGCTTTCTGTGGATAACGTTTCGGAAACCTGTACATCGGCTCTGGAAGCCACCGGGGCAGGATGAACTGACTGGGTTGACGTTGAACTGTGTGAGCTTTCTGTGGATAACTTTTCGAGAACCTGTTCATCAGTTCTGGAAGCCACCGAGGCAGGATTGACTTCGACTTCTGAAACCTCTTATTGTTGTAGAGGAAGATATCTATTTTGCATAGCGCCAATCATAGATGGTTCAGCTGAAGCTTCATGTAAGCGAAACCCACTAATCATATGCACGTTCTAACCAATACAGATAAGAAAATTGGAAAAAACTCAGAGATAAATGAAAACTTGGCTTTTTGAGACATGCACTCTTTATGTCAAAAAGGTTATGAAGGCAGTCATATCATGCCCCCCTTGAGATTCGCTACCACCAACTGTTTTCAAAAGTCGTCAGATCCAACACTTTTCAAAGCAAAAAACACGCATCAGCTCACTCAGAGAGAATAAAGCAAGCGAAAAGAACTAAGTAACTGCTTACTCCATTAAAAGCGGAACGATGAAAAAAGTACCTTTTTGCTGAACTGGTTGTTCCTCCTTTGCATCTGCAGTCGTCGAAGAGGTTGTAACTGCGGTCATTTCATTATCGGCCTGGAAAATATAGGTGAATGAGGTACCCTCACTTGGGTAGTCACTTCTTCAGCTGGCAGAAAAAAAAGAAGACGGTTTCTCAAGAATAGCTGGTGAAATGCTATTACAAGTTCAAACATTAAAAGACAATGTCAGACCTCATCATCAGCTTCTACTTCAGGTTTGAAAGGTTCACTTGATGAAGGCATTGAAGCTGGCCCTTGCACGGCAGTCCTCTCTTGTTCACCAAGCGACTTCGTCTCGCTCGCCTTCTTTCTTCCTACCATCATCATTTTACGCAAGAATGCTTGCTTATCAACACCTGAAGACAAAGTTAGCTATTAAAAAATGAGCAGGATGCCTCAAACGCTTAAAGACTCCTTGAATAGCGAAGATAATACCAAAAGAAATGAAAAACGTTACCGCTTGTGTTAGCACCAGCCACTTTCAGTTCCGGGAGTGCCACCGGCTTTGCGATCTTAACAAGCTTCTCTAGTCTTTGTGCATCATGAGTAAGAGCGACCAGTTTCTGCCGGAGCTGGGAGGTTTCTGTTTTTGCCTAAACTGATACAGTAAGCCGGCTACAAACAAAGTGCTCAAGATGTCAGGAATGATCACAAACCTTCATGTCGGGTAATACTCCATGACCTTCATTCAGTTGCCTGCAGTAGTCGTCTAAGGAATCCCCAGTATTGGTTGAAGTATGCGCCTATAAATGTCGAACTTTAAAAGGATGGGAATTGTTAATAAGGAAATGAAAACACGAGAAGCCCGAACAAATAGTACCGCATGTAATTCGTCCAGCTTTTCTTTTAATTTAGCAATGTTCTCACGGGTTTCTTCGAGTTCCTTGCATAGTGACTCATAGGTGCTTTTCTTCTCAGACTTCTCGCCAGTTTTATTCTGAGCGAAAAGTAATAAATAATGTAAATATTATTCTGGCATCGAAAACAAGCATCAAAAAATAGAACACTCTCACAAGTCATCAGACCTACCTTGGCCCACATCATACGCTTTTCCCTTTGTCTTTCAATTTGACCTGTCCTATCAAGGTACTCGTCATCATCCTCATCATAAAAATCATTCTCTTCCAATTCGTTTCTCTTGGTCCTAGCTTTCGATACTGATGATCTGAAACAAGACACAGTTAAATGCTAGAAAGCCTTGTAATAAAACAACTGGAAGCACTGGTACCTCACCTGAGAACTCCGTGGCTGTCTAAGATACGGCATGCCTCCAAAGCGCATTGTACCTGCGCATCCTTTTTTGATGTAGAAACTATCGCTTGGGCAGTGTAGGTGCGATCAACACCGTTGATTTCGATGGGAAGCCTTAATTACGATGATTGCCGATGCTGAGGTGCTAAGATTGCATCCTTTTTTTTCATTTCGGCGACTACAAATAAGGGGGTTATAAGGTAGCTGGCAATGGTATCATTCCCCATGTAATTCAAGTAGTGAAGCACGGTAAGGCATGTTACCCCACCCACTCTTCCCCTCTCTTTAGTTAATAGTAATAAGAAAGTCGAATAGCTGGGGATTACCAAAATGGTACTTTTTTTCAAGTTAAAGCGTGCAGTAATCAAGATGTCTACTCTGAATTATGGAGCGGTTCTTATTCCAATCAGAAGGATACTTCGAGAAAATCTTCTCTGATATTTTTCAGTTTCCAGTCCCTAGTTTCAAAAAAGAAGAAGATTTTCCACATATACTATTAATGATAGGGACATAAACAGGAAAGCTTCTATAAAAACCAGAGGATCAGAAAATGGAGCGAAGCTTCAGCACTTGCTCCATTTTCTGATCTAATTGAATACAAGTTCTGTGAACTCACTCAATGGTACATAACCATTTATGCGTATGCCCTGATCCTTGCTCCGACAATTGGAATTTCATTTCAAAACCTTCACGCTCGAAGAACTTTGCCAGGGCTTTCTTAGGATCTGCCTGATAATACTGTTCGCGATCTTCCATCAAGTGACCATCCATCTCTATCTAAATCGAAGCTTGCAGGAACGTAAGTTTCAACGAAAAATGGCAATGATAAGCTCAAACGAGCTCAAGGATAACCATAAGCTAATAGAAAACAGTAATGAATTCTGACCTCCACACCAGGCGTATAGTCTTCGTCATAGCCCATGCCCCAGTCTATTCCTTCCGAAGACTCAGCCTCTTTAGCCTTTTCTGCTTCTAACTCCTTTCGGGCTGCCATTTCCAGTTTGGATTCCAGGATCTGTATCGGACAAAATATATGAACAGACAAAGTATTGTACCAAAGTTAAGTACCACGATGGTACCTTTTTGTGCATTTTCTCCCTCATTTCAGTGGGTGAACATTCCCACTCTGCTTCACAGTCAGTCGATGGCCCAAGCAATGAAAGTAGTCGTGTACTACCTTAAAAAGCGCAAGTGCATAGGGGAAGACGAAAGGTGCCGTAAAAAAGGGAGATATAATTAAGTAATTCTAAGAAGCATGGGAAGTTTCAATTGATAACTAACCTCCAAACTGTAATACGAATCCAACCATGATGCGCATGTACTGCTTAGGTGGCACCTTCTTTTTGTTCGCCTTGCTCCCATGAGTACTGCCCATGTCATAGATGTGCCATCCTTTCCCTGTTCGGTCCATTGGATCCTCACCGTACTGTAGAATACAATGATAGCGCGAGATTGACGGATGGTCTGAAGAGAAACATGCAAGCACTTCGAGTGAGAATAAGTGAGCCGTAACTCAGATGAGCAGATGGGCGGTGCTGCCTGCTCGTCCTTCACCGTTCCTCCAAGGGTCGACCCTAACTCCCACCTAGAGTACTTTTACTCAAACCTCAAAGTTATATCGCGATCGGTACACCCATCTCTCCACCCCAAACTTGTTGTTCTAACCTAGCTTGACAGAGACAATTCTTACAGCGTAAGCTTATAGCACAGGGTGAATTATGCACATCTAGATCAAGTCGAACAACAGTGGAAGATCAATAATGTGATTTCCAGAAGTTTTAATCCCTGGAACTTAGATTATTGGAAGAACGTTGAATTTAAGCGCACTTCGGGCCAGATCGTTTAGGCACAGCAGGAAATTTTGCCTTACTTTCAGATTCCACTCACCGAGTACTACATCACAGTTTGGTAAACGTCCAATCACTACAAAGGTATTGTGCTTCCTGACATCTAAATCGAAGCAATCAACAATCGTGCCATTTTTTACAACCTGAAATGTGATCCCATAGGTAATACATATTTTAATCTGTCATCATAGCTTTACAAAACTAAAACAGACCTCCAGTTTGTAACCCTGACCAGGCTCAGGAACAGAGGCCCATGGAGGAGGGCTGTAGTGTAGTTCCGGATGAACGATAGACATTTTCTTTTCGGATTCACTTGATGGATGGGAACTTTCATCAGGCTGAAAGAATACACTCAGAGATAACAATGACTCGATGTCCGCCCGATCATTTCAAGGAGTTGCTCTTGTGGTAGGGGTTAACTAGAAGCATGGTTTGCTTTAGCATAGTCGTCTTTCTATTTCGACCAATGTTCCCCC